TCAACTATAAATTAAAAAATAAATCAAAAAATAAATGTAGAATAGATAAAAGAATAAATAAATAAGTATAATAATTATAAGTTATTATACTTATATAAAGAATAAATCAAGAAATAAATTTAGAAATGAAAAATAGATAAAAGAATAAATGAATAAACAAAATATATGTTAAAATAATAAATTATAAATTAAAAAAAAAGAAAAAGGTAAATAGCTAAAAGAATAAATAAATAATTAAATGAATTATATATTAAGAAATACATTATAAAATAAATGTTTAAATAAATGAATATGCAGATAATTAAATAAATATTAATTAAAAAATAAAATAATACACGATAGTAATGTTAAATAAATTTTATTTAATCACAATAAATGATTAAAAAATGTTCTCGATATTATAAAAATTTAGTTAAAATTTCATTGATCTTCTCGACACGTAAGTTGAGAAATGACTGCTCTATCGCATCCTATGTATAGGAGATCGTTGTCATTGTCATGAAGTTGGACGAAAACATACGTTTTTTATCGATTGCGCCAAATCTCATTTATCGAGTACAATGACGAATAATTCAACAATTTTTTAACTTTTATTATTAATTTATAACATCTTAATAATTTATTACGATTAAAAATTAATGTATTTTTACTATTTTTATCGTTTTATAACGTCTTTAACAATTTATTACGATAAGTAAACGTAATAATTGATATATTTTTAATATATAAATTAAAAACTAAATTGATTTCTTTCATATTAGTTTTCGATTCAACTATAATTATTCAATTATAATTTTATTAAGATATTTTAAATACCATTTTATGTGAAAAACAATTACAGATTATTCATATGCTATGAATTGTACTATAAATATAATGTTTTATAAATTAAAATTATATTATAATAAACGATAACAATTGAAATCTTGACTGGAAAGTTCATAATATGTGCAATACGAATAATATCAGTAACCTTAACAATAAAATGTCCATCGAAGGAAAAAGTATAAAAAGACTCGAAGAAAAGCTTAATTAATTTTGTTAAC